AATAATGGGAGGAGCATGTAGCTGTCTCCACTGAAGTCTGTGTGGGCCTACATGTGAGCGTGCATTTGTGCACATGTGAGTGTGCCGTGATTGAACTCGAGTGTGCAGGTGTCTGATGACTCGCATGTGAGTGTGCCCATATGTACCTTTTCATCCTGTGCACATATATGCACATGTGTGCGTGCCCATATGCCGATGTACCCATGTGTGTACTTATGTCTGTGTGTGTGTGGCTGGTGCAGTGAGATGTGCTGAGCCACAGTGGAGCAGCAGGTAAAGGTCCCTGAATCAGGAAGGCCCAGGGGAGTGTGAGAGGCCCCAGTCATCAGGGCTCCTGGCTTCCAGCTGGGTCCCTCCGTCCCTCCCAGGAGTGGTTGTGGGAACACTTGAGCCTCCTTTGAGTTCCGGGAAACCGAGGCTGTGTGGGCCCCACTGCCGAATGTGGCAGTGGTGCAATCTGCCAGCTGAGCCCCTTCCGGAGCTGTGGGTTCCTCTGGGCGTGGGGAAGCTGCCCTCTGTGACCTCCCTTGACAGCTTTGGTGCCTCCAGGAGGGCAGGACACACCTCCCAGCCCTGCAGCCTCACCCACAGGAAACTCTGGTTGGGGGCAGGCGAGAGGGGAGGTGCCATGCCTGGTGCCCCGCCCTGTGCTGTGGCCTCTGACCTGTAGCAGCACCACGGCTGTGGCCCTCTTTCTTACAGCCCCGGGGACATCGCTGGGAACCTGGAGCCCTGAAGCCACCACCATGTTTGGCAGGAAACGCAGCGTCTCCTTTGGGGGCTTCGGATGGTGGGTGACAGAGGAAAGGGCAGTTGAAAGGTTGGGAGTGAACTTGAAGGTGGAGTCCTATTGAGTGCCTTGGCTGCCTATGAGGAACAGGGGATCAGGTTGTGCCTGAGACCTGCGTCTGCAGGGGGCACTTTCAGAAGTCTGGGCGGAATAGGCATGGATGATCTTGGAGGCATCAGAGACTGTAAGCTTTTCCTCCCTGTCCCAGAGGCATACTCTGCTGCGGATCCGGGTCAGAGCTGGCCATCAGCTTGGGTGTGTGACTAGTTGAACATGCATGTCTCTGTCAGTATGTTCTCATCCATGTAGGTGCGTGTCTGTGATTATTTCTGAGTGTGTGTGTGTGTGTGTGTGTGTGTGTTTGCAGGTGTGCATGTGTGACCCTGGCTGCTACTCCGTGTGGTTGTGAGTGAGGTTTGTGCCTGGCTAGATGGATGTCCCTCTGTGACCACGTGGGTACTGTGTGTTTTGGAGCAGGTGCCTGCCTGCATCGCTGGTCTCTTGTGTGTGTGTGTGTGTGTGTGTGTGTGCTCCTGCTGTGCTGTGTTGTAACCCCACAATAGGGCCTCCTCTGGGCTTCTTCCTCTCTGGGGGTCAGCTGTGAGAGGAGGGGACAGGCCTCGCTCCCCTGACTCTCACTCCATCGAACCTAAGAAGCCAGGTCTGTGTCCAGCCTCCTGCCTGAACACCTTTTGCCTTTAAGCTTTTGTCTGGAACATGAGCGCTTCACTTTCCTTTCCAGAAGGCCAGAAAGTGGGGAGACTGAGGTCAAAGGCTTGTCTCTGGTTACCAGCTGCTGACAGCTTCTCCTCAGCTGGGGAAAAGAGCCTAGTGGTTTTTGTTATCAGTTTCCTTTCAGCTTCTGGTCCTGGGGGAGGGTGCTAGGGCAGGGTGACTGGGGTGTCCTGGTGGAGAAGATGGTGGGGAGGCACAGGAGAGCTGAGAAGGGAGGGACTCTATCCCCCTAATTAATTATATGCTTCCATATATGTGTGGCTTTTTCTTCCCCTTTCACCATCCATCCTCCTGCAGGCAGGGGTTATGGGCATCCATGTTTGGCAGATGGGTTAGGAGGATGAGATGGGTGGTGCAGTGTGGCTTGCCTGCTCATGGGTTCTCCTTGATACCTCGACCAAAGGCTGTGGTCCTGATGGTGGGGTCTGGGTTTGAATCACACAGTCTGCTTTCTGCTCTGGGATGGATGTGGGAGGCTGGGCTGGGATTCCTGCCTGGGCAATGGAATCATGTCTTCCCAGGTCTAACATTCTTTGCGAGGTGTGACACACACAGAGGGACGGTCATTGGAAAGTTCCTTTTGCAAGATTCAGGTCTCAATATGGTTTTGTCCCAGTGAATCCCTCATTCCTATGTCGCAGTGCTGGGCATTGAGACCCAGTGTTCCAGAGTCCTGAGGCAAATCTCAGCCTGTGGTATGAACCTGGCTAGGTGAGGGGGAGATATGAATGTGGCCACCCAGGGCTGCCTTGAAGGCAAAGAGGAAGGTTGGGGAAGAGACCTAGTATGTCCAGGAGACCCCACGTGCTGATTACAGTGACTACTAGGCTGGGTTCCATGAGGGTGGACCCAACTCCATCTTATTCATGGTCTCTTGGACACTTGGCATGGCACACCTGCTCAGTAAGTGCTTGTGAGCTGACTAGGTGAGGTGTTTTTGCATGCTTCAGGTGGGGGGTTGGGGCCCACCAAGTCTGAGGGGATGGTGGGGCCTCCTGGTGAGGTGGAAGGGTAGGGCAGCAGTGTGTGGGCATCGCCTGAGGATGATAGTCAACTAAGAGGGGATGTCACAGCTTTTGGGGAGCTAATTACAGATTCTTGGAGTTCTGGTCCCTCTAGTCAGTGAAGAGAATCTTGGGGGCATGTTTTAAAAGTTCCATCCATCACCAGTCCATTGCCATTGGCCTCAGGCAGAATTAAGTGTGAGAGTAAGTCAGTGGAGGGAGGAGGGTTAGGGACTTGGCTTCCTTCCCCAAAGCCGGTACCCCATCTCCTCTCCTAGCCCTGCCCAAACCACACGCCCTGCTGTTCTGGGGCCACACATCAGCGTGAGAACCCTGGTGGACAGACTGTTGCCAGATAGACTAGGTTGTGGGCTCAGGGACAGGGCCTGCTGTGGCCCTGAGAGCTGGTGGGCAGCAGAGGTCAGGCTGACCAGACAGAAGCCAGGAGGGCACCTACCAGGAGTCCAGGATCTTGTACTGGCTCCACTTTGACTATTGAGGAACTCCAGTGGGACACTTTCTCTCTTTGGGTCTCAGTTTCCCCATGTGTCAGTGAAGATTTCTTCCTTCCCCACAGCACAAGGCTGTTGTAAAAATTAAACGAGAGGGGCTGGGGTGGTGGCTCAGCGGTAGAGCGCTTGCCTTGCATGTGTGAGGCACTGGTTCGATCCTCAGCACCACATAAAAATATATAAATGAAATAAAGATATTATGTCTATATACAACCAAAAAATTATATACATAATAAATAAATAAATAAATAAATAAATAAATAAATATATATATATAACTTCAACCCTGCACAGATTCATATATATAATTAAAAGACAAAACAAAAAGACAAAACATAAGATGTGAGAGCTTATTATTAGGGTGGTGATTGGGTAATTATGGGAGGAATATTCCAGTAGGTGTGGGGTTCTGACTTCTGGGCAGATCTGGGATCTGGCAGATTAAATGGGAGAGGAGGAGGTCTTCATCCAAGAGGATGGGGCCCCAGGACAGAGTGAGGGGAAGAAAGTGGGAAGGACGTGGGCCAAGGACACTCAGGGTGCAGATTGTTTTGCTGTTGGGCACTGAGAACAGGGTGCTGGGAGCTTATTCAGAAACAGAGGATCCTACTCCCAGCTCAAAGTTTCTGCTAACCTGAGGTGTGTGTGGGGAACTGTGTCCTCATCATGTGGCCTTCTCTCTTCCTCTTCATGTGTATGGGAAGCTTGAGGCAGAGCTAAGCTGGCTAGATAGTGGTACCCAAAAGAACTTTCCAGGGTTTCCAGCATCTTGGAAGTGATGGTGATTTTGGTGACTCTGATAATGATGGGCACACTTGGGGTGGCACTGATAGTGATGTGACACTGACAGTGTTGGTGATACTGATAGTGATGGTGACACGGGTGGTGACCCTGGTGATCATGATCTGTAAGCCACAGGAGACTCAGACAGTGGGAATATTGCCCACCTCTCTGTCTCTGGAGAGGGGGAAGGAAACTCCCTTTGCCAGCCATAAGGGCTGGCATATGCAGGGGGTAAAAATAGAAGCTCCCAGCACTGCCTCCTCTGCCAGCGAGGGCGGGCGCAGGCTGGGGTGGAGGAGCGGCTGCCAGGACAGTCTGCAGCAAACGTGATCTTCCCTGCTCCCAACTCCAGCGCCTGATGGAACACCCTTGCTGGTTCTCTCTGGAGCCTGCCATTGGGTTTTGTCCCAGGAGGGGAGTCTGCTTGCCCAGATGGACAGGCAGCTCCTAGAGCAGGAGGGTCCCAGTTACTAGAAAGTGCTCATATCTTCCCAAAGCTGAAGGCCAGGAAATGTGGATGTGTTGGTTGTCCTCTTACCAATGAGGGATCCAGCTGGGTTGCACAAGTCCCTTGTGGGGGTAGGAATAATAAAGGGACAGGCTACATACAAAGTGCTTAAGACCCCCTTAATGCAGATATCTGGAGTCAGACTGGGTCAGAGACTTCACCTTTCTGAGCCTGTTTCTTCATTATTAAAATGGGAAGAGGGGCTGGGGATGTGGCTCAAGCGGTAGCGCGCTCGCCTGGCATGCGTGCGGCCCGGGTTCGATCCTCAGCACCACATACCAACAAAGATGTTGTGTCCGCAGAGAACTGAAAAATGAATATTAAAAATTCTCTCTCTCTCTCTCCCCTCTCTCACTCTCTCTTTAAAAAAAAAAAAAGGCTGGGGATGTAGCTCAGTGGTAAAGTGCCCCTGGGTTCAATCCCTGGTACCAAAAATAAAATGGGAAGAATAAAAGTACCCATCTTATACTACCTGTGTAGCCCCAGGCCTTCCAAAGCATGCAGTCCTCTCTCCCCGGGCTGGAGGAGAATTGGCTCTGGAGCTGTCTGCTACAGGGCCCTGCAGTCTAGTGAGCTAGGCCCACCTGGGGACCCTTCCACTGCAGATACTGGGTGGGAGACTTCAACCCAGCACAGATTGAAGCTCTGTTTTTTTTTTCTCTTGGCAGGATCGACAAGAACATGCTGGCGAGTCTGAAGGTCAAGTAAGTAGCCACTTCTTATTCTATAGAGTCAGAGATAGCAGCCAACCATGCTCTCCCAGGGCGCTGCGGTTCCTCCCATATTGTGTGAAACACAGTGGGGCTGTTGCATGGTCCGATCCCAGTCTCAGTGGAGGTGGCTTCCCTGTTAGAGGAGGCTGGAGAAGACTCTTGATTCCTGGGAAGGCAGAGTTGGGGATGGAAGCAGGAGGGACCAGCGAGGTGGGAATGGGTACAGAGAGTGTGACTTTGAAGCCACACACTTAGAAGTAAGAAAGATAATTGTCCTTTTCTATCACTTTAATTTTTATGTGAAGACCCAGTTCCATCAGATTGTCTTTCGGACATTTCTCGTCTCCTTGAATAATTGTGCCACACAGTTCCAGAGCCTCATAAAACACACTTGGTGTGTGTGTGTGTATGTGTGTGGGATCAGCTGGTCATTGATTCACCTGTTACCTAGGCACCTCTGAGGCTTCCATGGCAGAAGTCCTGCTCGGGCTTGGGAATTATCTGCCTTGGGTTACCATGTGTCTGCTTGTCTGTCTGGGGAAGCCCTATTTAGTACCTCTCTTTCTTAGATTCTCTGTTGTCTCTTCCCTTCCTTATCACCTTGTTCTTTTCCCTCTATGCTTCTGCAAACCATCTTGTAAGCATCTTGATCCTCTATTTTTTAAAAATATTTTATTTATTTTTTAGTTTTCGGTGGACACAACATCTTTGTTTGTATGTGGTGCTGAGGATTGAACTCGGGCTGCATGCATGCCAGGCGAGTGTGCTACCGCTTGAGCCACATACCCAGCCCCTATTTTTTTTTTTTTTTTGAGACTTAACTCAAGTTTAAGAAACTTCTGCATCCTTCTCATGGGGTCAAATGGAGTGAATTGAAAAGGAGGAAAATTCTAGGAGGGAAAAAGTATTGGTCACTAACTCAAAATATTCCCCTGCTACCTGTGAATTAACCCTAAAAGAAAATTCCTCCAGTGAGTTGCCTTGTCAGAGGTAGCTATTCTGGGTTGTCACTGCTCATCTCTGCAGAAAAGTTTCCCATTCAGTTGCCAGCACTGATTGTGTCTCCTTGGATATAGGTCCCTGAGCAAGGTATAGCCAGTCTTGAGGGTTGACATATAAAGGGATCAAAACAAGGGGCTTCTCACTGTGGTCTGTTTTATTCAGAAAGGTGACAGTGGGCAGTTAGCAGGGCTGGGATGGAACACAGAATGTTCCTGCCCTTTGAGGGCTTTCAGTCTCTTTGCAGGTATTATACTAGGGGTGCTGTGGAGCAGTCCTGGAAGATTGCTGGGAGGAGGTAGCGTCTAAAGCTGCAGCATGACAGTGGGGCCCCCTGTGCCTGGGTTGGCAGGGTGTGTACATTTGTGCAGTCCAGGGTTCAGGATGCATCACCTCAGGCCAGGACACTGAACTTCTCTGGGCTTCAGTTTCCATATCTTTTGTCCCCCTGACACAGCAATATCTGGCCTTCCAAGAGCTTCCCAGGGCATATCTGCATATTGAATGAGATGTGAGACATCTCATTCAGAGATGCTTTGGGGTGGAGTAGAAGTGTTTCTTTGCGGGGTAGTCTTGGGAATCTATTTAAATGCATAAGCATTTATTGAAGGTCTGTGTGTTTTAACTGGTAAATAAAATATTTATTTATTTATTTTTTGGTATCAGGGATTGATCTCAGGGGCACTTGACCACTGAGCCACATCCCCAGCCCTATTTTGTAGTTTAGAGACAAGGTCTCACTGAGTTGCTTAGTGCCTCGCAGTTGCTGAGGCTCGCTTTGAACTCACAATTCCCTGTCCCAGCCTCCCAAGCTCCTGGGATTACAGGCATGAGCCACTGTGCCTGGTGACTGGTAAATAAAATATTTATAACATGGAGGGGAACTAGGTGTAAGGTAGAGTGAAGGGCTGGAGGCATGGGCCAGTGTTGGGTTGGGACCCTGTCAGGTCTCTGGGTATCTGGGTATCTGTCTGAGAGCTTAGGCCCTTAGGAAGTGATATTGAGATGGTGGTTTGGGACTTTTTTTTTTTT